GCCCACGCCCCCGCCCCTTTGCGGCGGCCCGCCAGTACCCCCATCGCCGCCCCCGCGGCCGCCGCCGCCGCTGGTGGAGGGGTTCTCGAGCCCGTACCGCTTTAAGGACGCGCCGGACGCGAGCACGTCCACGCCTCCCTCCAAAAACCGATCCAGCGCGCTGCTGCCGCCGCCCTCCAGGCCTGCCGCACTACCTCCCTGGTCCCTGCCCTCCTGCCCTTCCTCCTCCTCCTCCTCCCCCTCGCCGCCGCCGCCGCCGCCGTGCCGCCCGGGTTCAGCGAGGCCCGCGGGGACGGAGGCGCCGTAACGGGCGAAGGCCGCGGCCGTCTCCGCCTCTTCGCCTTCCAGCGCCCCGCGTACGGCCCGCTCCCCGACGTGGTGGCCGATGCACGACTCGTCCAGCTGCATAGGTGGACAAATCGAGTGCGGCGGTGCTGGTGTTGCAATTGTCAGGCAACTTGCGGGTAGAAGGCGGGCGGCGTGCGACGAGGCGAGAAAGGGGAGCCTCTGCTCTGCCCAGCGAGGGGCGTCGAAACGTGGGGGCCGGGAAGCAGGGCAGGAGTCCGTCCAGCAGCAGGACGTGCACAGGGCGGCGTGCCTCGCCCCTGCACGCCGCAGCCCCGGCCTCGTCTTGTGCGACAACGCCTGCCACACACTCCCTTGCCCACCCTAAAAAAAATCCGACCCCGCCTCATACCGGCAGTGCACATGACTACTTTCAAGTGGCAAAAAATAAACACGCCATAATACAAAATCGCCCCCCACCTTGAACATGAAGCCGAACCCAAACACGAGCGGCTGCGGCGGGAGGTAGTTCTTCTTGCCGCGGATCATAAAACTACCGGTGGGCAGGTACTCCCCGGTGGGGGCCGCCTTGGAGACCTGGGGGTGGGTGGCGAGGGGGGCCGGCGGGTGTGCTTAGCGTTAAGAAGTGCAGTTCTAAGCTGCCGTAAGAGGCTGCGACTTACAGGATTCGTTAAGAGGTGCGGACGACAGGCCGCGGCTGTGACACACCACAAGAAGAAAGCACCAGGGTACGAACAGGCTGGAAAAACACTAAAGTTTTCAAAAGTCATTGCCCATACGTTTGCGGAAGCACTCGCTCGAACGCACATGCACATGCATGTGTTCAACACACACACACACACACACACACGCGCGCACACACACACACACACAAACAATCTCTCTCTCCCCTTCCTCTCTTACCGAGACACAACCACACACACACACACACACACACACACGTACACACACATACACACATATGCGGACACACCCGCAGAGGCGCACGCACGCCCGAAGAACAGCACCTCACCCCCGCCCCCCACACACACCCCACACCTGGTGGTGGTGCACCCAGTAGGCGCTGGTGACGACCTTCTGGTCCCACGCCCTGCTGCGACACACGCACGCGCAGCCCGCCTGCTGCAGCGTGAGGGGCGGCAGCGGCTTGGAGGGGTCGTTGTTGCGGACCACGGTGGAGCTGGCGCCATGAAGCTCCGCGTGAACGTAGGCGTCGCCCTTCCTGCGGCAGCGGTTTAGAATAATGGAAGACAATTCAAAAGCTGGGCAAAGGTTTCAGGATAAGGGGTCAAACTGGCTCGAAGATCCACCGACGATTGTGATGTGAGGCGTGTGCGAAGGTTGATGCGAGGTGCTGAGGTTTCGGAAAGCGACGGCGACGCAGAGATTGCGCCGTTGCAGCTCTTTCAGAGCGGGACCGGGGCCTGAGGGCCGGCTGGCAACAAAGGGGGCCAGGGTTTCCGACCGCCGGGGGCATCTAAAACACTGGTCCGTGAGCCGGGCGGCGGGAGGGGCGACACGACGGTCCCCGCTTTGCAGAGCCGCGAGGTTAGTCATGCCGGTCAGGCAAAACCCCGCAGTGTCGCCGTGACGTCACTGTCGCGTCGCCGTGACATCACCGTGACGTCACCCCGCACCTGAAGTACCGCTTCACGATCATTTCATTCTGCTGCGCGTCGCGCCCGCTGATGACTAAGTAGTTCTCGCTGGACACGAACCAGTGGAACCGCTCGTACCATGCCGCCTTGCGCACCACCTGGCAAGTTCACGGCGTGAAGATCGGTTGGGTTGAGTCGTAGATCTCGCAATTCTCAAGGCAAATGCGAGCTGGGGCCGACTTGCCACACCGCGAGCCACCAAAGCAGAGGGCGCCTGGGACTCAAAGCAGACCTGCAGATCGCGGGAGCCCGACCCTCTGACTGCCGGTTCATACTGGAAAAACACGTGGCGACTCAACCCAGAGGCCCGCCCGCCGCACCTGTGCCGTGGAGGCGTTGTTGCGGAGGTTGGCGAGCTGCGCCGCCGCCTTCTTCTCCGCGGCCTTGAACGCGGCCTCGTTGGCGGCCAGCGTCTTGTCGCGCTTCTGCAGCTGGCGCTTGCGGGACTCATGGTGCTGTTTGGGGGCGGCGCGGCGGTGGGGTGGCGATGGGTCGTGCAGTGTGATGGGAACACAAGGGGGTGACAAGGCGGCTGGGAGTGCTTGGGGCTGCGGGCCGCACGATGTGGTGGAAGCGCAAAGGGATACACGGGGATTGAGAGTGGAATGAAACCGCATGTCAGGATCGGAGGGGCGCAGAACCGAGCAGGGCAGGGGCTTGCCCTGACGCCTCCTTTGGCAAAGCGACACGCCTGCAGCGCCGCTCCACGCTGCGCGGCCCCTTGGGCAAACACAATTGCAGGATATCGACCCTCCAAGACAGGCACTGGGGGCCTGCACCCGTGCCCCCGCCCCCTGTCCCTCCCACCCGGCAGCTCCACCCCAGCCGCGCTAAGAACCCCGCCCTGGCGTATAAAGGAAGCATGAGCAGGCAGCGGGCCTGTGCGCCCCACCTGCCGCGCGTTGGCGTATGCCGAGAGGGAGAGGTCCACGGGCACCTTGGTGGCCGGCCGCGTCTGGGCCTCCTCGCTGTCATCCTTTTGAATTCATGACGCGGTGTGGGCCCAATGCGTGAGGGAGGCAGGGGTGAGTTGCCGCAGCGTGCGAGGGTGGGGTCGGGCGAGGCGTTGTTGTTGTGCCGGCACTGAGGTGGCGGTTTGCGGCCGCAGAGCAATGCCGAGGCGGCGGACGGCCCGCGATGGCGCACGCTCGCGCACTCGCGCGGATGCGCAGATGCAATTTACACACACACAAACATCTTCAAATCCTCCCCGTGAACACCTTCCTTACAACGTGTTTTTTCACACATGCATTCACGTCCTCACATGCACAGTCACACAAGCACGCAGAATCACTCACAGGCGCGTGCACACACACACACACACACACACATATAGACACACACGCACGTACACACTCTCACACGCATAAATACACACACTCTCATTGCTTCCCCCTAGAAGTCACTGTGTCCCCCCCACCCCCTCATCCAGGTTGTTCTGCAGCATACACACACACACACACTCAAACACACACACACACTCAAACACAACACACACACAGTCACACTCCAACACAACACACACACACACTCTCACATATACGCACACTAACTACAATCACACAAAACGAACACCTATTCCCCGGAAATCCAGCTATCTCCCCCACCCCCGCCCCACCTCCTCGTCCAGGTTGTTCTGCAGCAGCAGGGTCACCCTGTTGCTGTCCAGCTGGAGGCTGTGGATCAGGCCCGCCACGGGGTTGCCCGCGCGCCGCTCCTCACGGATCATGGCGTCAAGCTCGCGCCAGTCCATGCCTGGGGTGTGCGCATGGGCGCGTGTATGTGCGTGTGTGCGTGTGTGCGTGTGTGTGCAATTGTAATTGTGTGTGTGTTTGACAATGCATGAATGTCAGTGTGTTTGGAGGGGGGTCAAGTCGCACCCCCGCATGTAATGTCAGCTGCGTGCAGGGTTGACCCTGCAAAGGCCGATAAGGCATGATGACTTGAGATGCGACAGGACCCAAAGGGGGCACATGAGGGCGCAGCAAACTCCCCATGACGATAAAGCCCAGGCAGGCCCCACCGCACCGCAGTGCCAGCCGTGCGGGGGGCGCCTGCGGCCGCCCGGCAACATCCCCGGGGGTGCGGCCGCGACCGCGCGCCAGCCCCTCACCGGACGCGACGGCGGCGTTGACGGCGTCTATGGCGGCGTCCACCTCTCCCAGGTTGTACTCGATGAGGGTGGCCCTCAGCTCCGCCTCCGACGCCTCAGACTCCAGGGCCGCGACACGCGCCCCCTGGCGGCGAAAGAGCCGGTTTCGGTCATTGGTTGGGGGGCCGGCAGGAGGCGGGGGAGGGGTTGAGGAAGGGGCCCGGTGCGAGGGACGAGGGGCCGGGGTATGAGGCTTGAGCGTGCGCAGCTAAGGAGTTCCGTCATTGCTGCAATTAAGACCCCTGCTCGCTCCCCAGCGCACAGTCCCACATTGCAGGGCCCCTGCCTCGCCGTGCCGCAGGCAGCTTGCCGTGCCGTGCGCGTCAGCCCGCCTGGTCAACCCGGAGGCAAGGCTCGATCCATCAGTCGGCCATAAAGTCAACATACAGAAATGTGGATACATACACATAAATGTAGTGGTACACATATGTGTATACGTATCAGCAAGCAATGACCCTTCTGCCACCCCACCTGGTCCTGCTTCACGCGCTCCAGCTTGCCCACGGCCGCCTTCTCCGCGTCAGCCTTGGCCACGTCCACGCGCTGGCCCTCGATCTAGGGGGGGGGGGAGGCAGAACAGGCGCGCGGGTCGGTGCGCGGATATATACATGGCGCGCATATATATATGTGTATATATATATATATTGTATATATATATGGGCGAGAGCCAGGCATAGGAGGAATTGCTGGGGCAGAGGAGGGCCTGGCGATATGCTGCGCCGCCGGGGGCACCGCACGAACAGCCAAGGGCCCAGGAGCGTGCGTGCCGCGGGACCGGCGCGCCCTGACCGGCGCCGAGGCCCCGCTGTGTCGCCCCGCTGCGCGGCGAGCGCGCCGCTGGTCAAAGCAGGAGCGATCACGGGTCAATTCTGTCCAGCGACCACGCCGGCAGCTTACCCAACCTCGCAGATCCCCCAACAGTTGATGACGTGGCGACCCCTAAGATACACAGCAAGCCACCCTACCAGGACGCCACAGCAAGCCACCCTACCAGGACGCCTGAGCAGCGGGATCAAAGCCCCACCTTCGAGTAAAACTCGTCCAATGCGTCGTCAAAGGAGGGAAATTCCAGGACAGACTCCCCCGCGCACTGCGCCAGCCGCAGCGGGTTGAAGTCCTCATACACCACCGGCGCCCCGTCGCCCTCGCCGTCGCCCTCGGCACCACCCCCGCCCTCGCCCCCGGCGGCTGCCGCGCCGCCACCGCCGCTCGCCTGCCGCGCCCCGGGGCCCTCGTCGCCGCCGGGCCCCGCAGCGGGCGCGGGCTCTGCCCCGTCCTCGCCGCCGCCCTGCTGCGGCGGCCGCTCCTGCTGCTGAGCCGCCGC